GCCGCATTGGCGATGCATCGGCAATGCGGCGCCATCCTCCGGCCTCATCTGCTCGGACCCCAGCTAGGAGGCCCGGACCTCCGCCCTCCCAAAATCGTTCCCCCCCCCCGCCGCGCCTGTCGATGGCCGAGCGGAAGTCGCACGGCACCCGCTGCGGCGCGGACCTCGAGGCAGGCCGGCCGGGGCCGCGGGGGACGGACAAAAGCCAAGCCGCAGCCGCGGCCCCTGGGCGGGGCCCCTGGGCCGCGGGCCCGCGGATGCGGGGCGCTCTCTGGCGAAAGCCCCGCGCGGAAGGCATCAGTGCGACCGCGCAGCCGCGGGATCGCGCCCGGGAGTCCAGACCGCGAGGGCGCGGATCCGCATGTGCTCACCGCTCTTGAAAGGGGGGGGGGGGGGGCAGCTCGGGGGGGAGGGGACCCGCCTGGGGGGGGGGGGGCGGGGGGCACGACAGGGGGGGGCCAGCCCCAGGGCAGGGGGGGGACCGCGCTGGAATCGGGGCGACGCCTCGCCGACCGAACGGCGAGAGGCACCCGATGGCGAGGCCGCGCGTTCCTGGGCGGGGTGGGCTGTCAGGCTCCTGTCATCGAAGAAGTGGGCGACCGGGGGTCGATGCGCCCCCCGCTGGGCCTATCCCCCCGTCGCGCTGTCCCCGGGCAGGGGTGGCGGGCTGGGCGGGCGAGGGCGGCCGAGAAGAGGGCACGCATACACACACTATTATTACTATTATTATGAATTTTATCATTATTATTATTATTACTATTATCATTAGCATTATTATTATTATCGTTATTAGGATTATTCTTCTTAGTATTATTACTACTATTATTATTATCCTTATCGTAATCATTATTATCTAATATTAGTAGTATTATTAGTATTAGTAATATTATTATGATTATTATGTTTATTATTATTCTTATTATTAGTATCATCATTATTATTAGTATTATTAGTATTAGTACTATTATTTTTCCTACTATTATTATTTCATTTATTTATTGAATATATCTTAACATATGTAGATACAAGGCCGCATTGGCGATTCGCGCCGTGCGCCTTGTTCCGGGCGCTTCCCCGGCAAAGCAACAAATCACCGCTTGCTTGAGCAGGGGGGGCCTCGAGGCCTGGACGGGCGATCGGCTCATTTTTATGATATCCCTGGTGCTTGCTGTCACCGCGCTCGCCCGATGCGCTTGCACGCATGTGCGCTGGAGTGGGGAAGGAATGTTGTGTCTGTTTTTCAAGCGCGAAGATGCTGGCAAACGGCGAAACATCAAACTGCTGCGAGGGCACCTGTTGAACGGGGAACGGGAAGGGAGCAGGGATGAGGAGGGGACTGAAGAGGCGGAAGGGGGGAGGAGTGGGGGAGAAACGGGGAGAAGGTCCAGAGGAAGGAGCGGGCGAATGAGGATGGCCATCGGATGCCACGAACGTGACGAACAGTCAGGGGGGAAGGGATATATATATATACATATGTGTATATATATGTGTGTAAAGGACAAAAAAAGGAAAGAGAAAGAGAGAGAGAGAGAGAGAGAAAGAGAGAGAGAGAGAGAAAAAAAAGAAAAAGAAAGAAAGAGAGAGAAAGAGAGAGAGAGAGAGAGAAGAGAGACAGATAACGCCGTCTGGGCGTTTGGGGGGCTCTTTTGGGCCGTCCTGGGGCCCTCCTGGGCCGTCCTGGGGCCGTCTTGGGAAGCTGGGGCCCTCCAGAGGTCTTCTGAAACCATTTAGGGCCCTCTTGGGGGCCTCCAGCGGCCTTCTTGGGGGTCTTCCATGGCCGTCGGGTGTCTCTCTTGGGAGCCTTCTGGGAGCATTTTGGGCTTCTTGTGGGCAGTCTCGGGGCTCTCTGGGGCAATCTTGGGGCTCTCGCGGGCCGTCCTCAAACCCTCTGGGGGGCCTCTTCGGCCGTCTTGGGGCGATATCGGGGGGTCTTGGACGCTGCGAAGACCAAAAAAGCGGAAACATAAGTACACATTTTCCCAAGGGAATGGGACGATGCTTGCTTCTTCGGGGCTCTCGTAACGGCCTCTCGGGGCGTCTTGGGGGCCTCGTGGACCGTCTTCAGACCATCGAGGTTGCTCTTGGAGCGCTCTTGTGCTGTCTTGGGTCTCTCCTGCGCCTCTCCGCTAACCCCTCTGATCGCTTCGAGACTGCTCGCAAAAGGCCGGGCAAGGCGCCCTGGAAGGCCCCCGGAAGGGCCAGCGGGACCTTTTTCCAAAGGCGTCCCATGGGGCCGCCGAGACGTCCGAAAGGGTGTCCGGGGCATCCTTGGGGGGGCGGGCGGGTCCGGTTTAGGGGTTGGGGGGGGGAGTTCCGGGTAATACACACATATATATATATATATACATATGTGTGTGTATATATATATATATACAAAGGAGGTTTTCCTCCGACCGTTGATCTGTATGTCGCCTTGTCTTGTCGAGCTGCAGGAGGAGGCTCCTCCTGCAATCGCAGAAGAGCAGGGCGTATGTCGGAAGCCCGCACTCACTTCTTGGGTCGGCGGTGGACCCTCCCTGGCGGCGCCTCTAGCAGCGCCTCCTGTGCGCTTCGCGCGCCGGGGAAGGGGGATCAAGCAACGGCGAGAAATCAGCGCTGACCTCTGAAATCTCGTGTCAATACAATGTGTCGTTCTCCGGTCACAAACCCCCGACGTCATGATTTTTCCATGACGTCGACCCTCAAGGGTCTCGACCCATTCCCCTGGGACTGGTTTTTCATCCTGAATCGTTTTTTACGGTCCCGAGGGCCGGTAAGGGCCCCCAAGGGCAGAAAATAGAGAAACACCTCCCGTCGTGATTGTTTCATGACTCGGGGAGGTCTGGGTGTCAGTCGAAGGCACGATGAGGGCAAATCCGGATGAGGATATTTCGGGGATCTCTGCGAGCAGACGGGCCCAGAGACTGGAGGACGCAGCGGGAGCCGCTCTCTCGCTCCGGGCGGCTCGGGAACGCTCTGGGAGCACTCTCTGGAGGGAGATTTACCCTCATCCTATGCCTGCGCACTCGCACGTTTCCCCCCCCCCGACGCTGGAGGGAAAGAGGACGGTGGCCATGAGTGACCAAGACTGAACGCAGAGCCCGCAATGTCGATCTTGGCCACCGTCCATCTCGGCAACCGTCACCTCGTGAATCACCCTCGCGAATCGGCGACGAATCGACATGGGCCATGGCTAGAGGAAAAAGAACTATGCACATGCACCGATTCTGGCCACGCCGATCCTGAGCCCAAGATCGGTGCATACTCCCTCCTACCTTGGCCAGGAAGGCATATGCACCGATCCTGGGTCAAAGATGGGCCTTGCCAGGATCGGTGCATGTGCATAGTTCCCTTCGCCCGAATGGCCGATATCGGCGCCGACAGGATCCGGCGGCGAGACTTTGAGCATGGTCATCGTGTGTCTCCCCTCGCGGCGCGGCGAGGGGCGCAACCTCGGACCTGCCACCCGCTCCTCCCCCCAGCGGCGTGCAGCGAGATCGCGTCGGCAGCAGGCGAGGCGCACGCGCCAAGCTGCCTTCCAGCGTGCCGAACGCGCTCCAACCGATGCGGCTACGTCCGGGCAGAAGGCAAGGGAAGGCGAGCAGCACCTCCCTCTCGTCCTCCCCACCCTCGCCCTGCTCGTCCCTGCTCTCCTCTTCCCTCCCTCGGGCTCCCGCTGCTCCTCTGCCCCCATCCTCCCTGCTCCTCCCCGCCCGCCTGCTCCCGGCCGTGGCCGTCCCCCGTCCACCTTCGCCTCCTCGTCTCCTCGACCCCCGCCCCCTCAAAATTCCTCCGCGGTCCTCCTCCCCGGGGAAGGGGGGGGGGGCCCCAGGGAGGCCCAGGCGGGGGCCCCACGGTGGCCCACGGTACGGCCCCTGCAGGGTGGCCCAGGCCAGGCCCCAGCTAGGGTGGCCCAGGCCCCGGGGGTGAGCCTCCGCAGGGCCCCCGGGTGGCCACAGGTAGGGCCCCCGCCCAGGGCCCCGGGGTAATGAGCCCAGTGCGGGGGCCACCCCCAAATCCCCAGCGTCGGCCAGGGGTAGCCCTGGGAAACGGCATCGGGGGGCAGGGCCGGGGCAGGCCCGAGGGACAGGCCGAGAGGTGCAGCAGGAGCTCGAGCACAAGGCGCCTTCCACAACAGGGCCACACCCCGAGACCCCAGGGCGTCCAGGGGGCTCGGCCCAAGATGGCTCCAGGAGGGCCTCCGATGCTCCAAGATGGCCCCCAGGATGGCTTGATCGGCCAAGAGCTGATCCAGGAAATCAGGGGGAGACCTGGTACACGAACAAGAAGCGCGAATCCTTAGTGTTCATGAAGGGGCCCTGCCTCGCAGAACCTTCCGACCTGGCAAATGGCACGCTAATGACCACTCGAGTGCGCACTGATGATATTTGCGAGCGCGACTTCCGAGAGAGACATGGGAAATGAGCCATCCGAGGGTCATTCGTGGGCCATGACTGGCCAAAACCCATGGGTGGTCTATAACATCTGTTGCCTCATTTCAACATCACGTATGCATTCGCGGGCCTTCATTCAGCACGGCTGTGGAGACAAGCCCTCCATGATAACATCCCTGACCCAGGCCTCCGAAGCCGTGACGTTTCACACAGAGCACCCCTGGAAAACCACACCACTTCCCCAGGGCTGGTCTCATCCCGCGTCTTCATTCTGACAGCCATGGGGTGCGGCAGGGGCAACCCCAGAGGCAGAACGCAGCGAAACACGTCCCGCCAGTTCTGCTTGACGACGCGAGGAGATCTGTCGGGCGTTGGCAGAACTGGGTTTAGTGGGACCTGGTTTAGTGATGTGTACTGGGGAACGCCTCCCCTGCCCCATTCCACTAACCGAAACTGCCGTCACCCGAAAAACACCAGCTACGGCAGACGTGGTTTAACGATTCCATTCCAGATGTTGGGCTTCGGGGCCCAATCACTAACCGGCTCCCCTTAACCGGGGTCCTGGCTATACATCTGACCTGTAGGTCATACAACCCAGATCTCCGGCGGCAGCTCGGGACGATTCGGGCACCCCCCGAACGCCCTCGGCGAAGCGCACCTGCTGAAAGGCATCCCGAGACCAGGAGGTCCTTGGGAGCTCGCCAACACGCCCGAAAACGTTCCGCCGTGACCTTCTTCGCGACGCGAGGAAACAAGCCCCTGCAAACGGGGCGTTAGTAAACGGGGCAGTAG